AATTAATTCGGAGACTTAACTACGTAACTCCGAAACTGAAAAAAAAAAACAGAATTTATTTTGGGAATTAACTATGTAACTCCGAAACGGAAAAACAGAATTTATTTGGAATTAACTTCGAACTTTGAATGCAGTTTTGAAAGGCCAAACGACTCCAGAATGCCAAAATCCATCGTACATCACAGCAAATCTGTGAGTTTGACTCGTGGCATCGTTCCCTTTCCGAAATAGTATTTTGCTCCCTAATCGGAGCTCGGACGACAATTCTGCAAATTCCCACCACGTCCCTTTTCTTGCTCAACCGCGATAAAATCTGTCATCTGTTCTACATCAACAACACACAGGTCACCAAAAAAGGAGGCTCTAATGCCAAGTCAAACAATTTGGGTAGAATATTTTTGAGATTTATTTCATTCTCCGAAAGGAGGTATTTATAATGCAAGGTTACAAACCCTAGCATGGTTATACTAGGAAATAAGAAAAGTCCTAATTACATAATAACTATACAAAAAGGAAATAAATAAAATCCTAATAGAATAAGAAAGAAATATCCTAACAAGACTAGGATCTCGCTAACAGAAACCACTATACAGTCTAATATAGGAACTTCTATTTTTCCTTTTTAATCTCTCTCACGCTTGCTTTTTTTTTGGGTCGAATCTCACACTTGCTTTAGAGAACACTGTAAATGAGACTTCTTGTGGTTCATGCTCTAGCAGCAGAGATAATAGAGCGCACAGTTTGGATAAGAGTGAGTATGAGGAGAACAACAGCTGCAATGACAGAGAGAGTTCGCCATGGTGTGTTGAAATAATTTTGTCTCAAATTTGCCATCCTTTTGTGACTTGTCGAACTGCAGTACCTGTTCAGGTCTTGATAAAGATTAGCAAATGTGAAGTCAGGGGATCCAAAAATCCCAATGCCAAGGTTATTAAATAGAGCAGCCACCTCTTTCCTGTCACCTAGAACATTTTCAATAATTCCACGATCAACAAGCAAATCCACATCACTTGCGTTGTTCACTAAACGATCCATGATGATCATATAATCACCTACATATTTGTGGTCGTAATGACACTGTTCAAAAGCAAGAAGATTTCTAAGTGAGATCTCTGTGTGATCCTCTACTCGGATCTTTGGAATTTCAAGAATCCCATCAGTGAATCGTATGTCAAATATGTTTTTCCTCGATCCCACCTTAAACTTCACTCCCGCCTGGTATAGCTCTGTCCCGCTTGGTGTAGTTAGATTATCTAATCGTATTGATGGAACAACTTCTGATTGGCATAACGATCTTAAAATAAGATCCAAAAAATGTTCTACTTTTTTTGTAGAACTTAATCTCTTTAAAATGAACTCTTGATCTGCTCGGTACATCAGAATCATTGTCGAAGTGAAGAATTTGAGAGAAAGATCAGTTACAAATGTTGAAAGTCTGTCATCAGAAGTGTCAGAATCAGAAGAGAGTGTACCTTCTTGTAGATAAAAAAAGATCCTCGAGAATGAAGAATGGTAGTTGATTCTCAAGCAATTTCATGTCAGTCATTATATCATGAAACATCACTGGTTTGTTAAATATGCGGTCATTTTCTTTTCTCGGTGTCCTGAAATTGTGTTTCAACAAGAGCTCGATGATGAATGTGGCATCTACTAGAATGATTCTTACAAATTCATCACTGCTAAATCCAATGGTTTCTGCATAACAACTTCTTAATCTTGTTTCTTGGTCTCTAATTTTCTTTATGCAATCCTCCAAGCTTACTTTGGTCTGACATAGAAATTCCTGTAGGTACCTCTTTTTCTGCTCTTCCATGTCTTCTAACCCTTTCTTGCCATGGTGGAGTGGACCTATAGAGACTACCTGAGGTGTGTATGCGTTTTCATTTACAAGTTTCAATCGCTCTGGAACTCTGTAAATACAACATGAAGAGGATAAAGGAGATAACCTACCCAATTCCTGTCTCATGGAAGTTTCTAATGGAATGTATGGGTTCTCTATATCAACTGGAGCAGCTTGATTGCTTCCTTCCATTTTCCTCTTGATGCGCTATAAAACAAAAGATAAGAAACTAAAAACTTCAATAAAATGGATATCTGCAAGTAGAACAAGAAGAAGTATATATATACCCCAGAAGAAAGATTATGTGTATATATATATATATATATATATATTTTTATTCATGTAAAACAAAACAATTCTTAGATATAGGTCGACTTTTATCAAGATGTAATGGATGCAGTCTACATGCTCCCTTTTCAATTTCAGCCCAACAACCTCTTGCTTCGCCAAGTAAGCAACTAATATATCCACAATTTTTAAGGAATTTACAATATATGTCATTATCAGAAATGAAAGTCAATAAAAACACCTCTCTAAAATTCGAGCGTCTCCTACAAAAGGAAGTGAGTTTAGGAATGTACCAAAAGCTTCGAGAAACTAAAAGCACCTTCTAAAAGTTTACATTTACATTTCCGTGAAAGATAAGAAACTAAAAGCTTCAAGAAAATGGAAATGTTCTAGAAAAGGAAGTGAGTTAAATTTGCACCTGTATGTTCAAAGGACCAAGTTGGTTTCCCTTTGGTCGATTAGAAGAGAAGCTCAATGCAGCTTACTTGGTTCCTCTGGTAGATGAAAATATAATTTTTCCCCGGTAAGGTGATGGGCTATATAGAACAACTTTTTTGTTTTGATGTTTATGCGGGACGCGTTTTGCCAGATTAAATTAATGTCTTCTAGCTTTATCTTTTCCATATCCCCATAATTCTAATAACTATTGTGTGTTTGACAATATAAGCAGATGGCTTGCGTGAAAATTAAAGGGCCGATGGTACGTTGAAGGGTTCTCCTTCATCCAAATTAGGGTTATAACCCAGACTATACGTATACATATATAGATGGCTTGTACGTATAACCATTTGTTTTTCGAGGTATGTTCTATTAGAGAATCTAGAGATCATCATTTCTGATTATCTTTATCCAATTTATTAATCATTTTATCAATCATTAATGCGGGACTTGCATGGTGTTGCCATGGTGTTGCCATTTGCTGTTATTATAAATGAGAACACAATAATAACATTTCCAAATTTCTAGCATATCCATAATTATTTTATATCCTCAATTTTAGGGATTAAGTTTCTAACAATTCAAATCCTAATTAATTTTAGTTCTTGCCATGTCCATGTGACTTCTAACCTAATAATGGATCCCGAACCTCTGTATTTAGACTTCATGCATTTATCCACATTTTGTGAAATCTTAGCCACTCAAATAATCTAATGGCTTAAATCAGTCCACATCAGCTTGCTAGGATATTCTCTCTCTTTTTTTCCTCCCAAATGACGATAAGTCCGTTACTCTCTTCACAGCCCAGCAACCCAAAAACCCAAACTTTCTCAAATGGCTTCTTCTTTCCTGCAACTTAATCTCCAAATGCAGCTTTCGAACAAAAATAAAAAAACAATCTCCAATTGCAGCAACTTTGAGCAATTTCTCCTTCTTTCTCTGAAATATTATATCTGAAGTCAAGCAAATCAAACTCCAAACTATATTTAATATTTCTAAAAAAGAAAAGAAAATATATTCAATACAAATATACTCTGGGGGGTGGTATTTTGCATCAGTATGGCATGTACAAACGTGCCGACAAAATTGTCCTCCAACAATAATTTACCTATCTTTTCAAGTAAACTAATTTTCAGGTTATTTATTTTTTGGTAAATTATTTTTCCAGGCATGTACAATAATTTACCTATCTTTGTAGGTAAACTATTTTTTTCAGGTACCTATATTTTCTGGGTAATTTTTTTTTTTTTTTCAGGTAAATTATTTTGTCGGTACCTATATGTTTTGTCAATATAAATATATGGAATAGGTAAAATGTAACAACCCGATCCTTAATAAATTCTTAATTATTATTTTATTCAAGGAAAGAACTACGTGTGGCTTGATCCCTCAGTAAGGGTATGTAAGCTGACAGGACCCGTCCCGAATTTTCCGGAACCCGAGACGAACCCTGCGGAGACCCCGGCATCACACCCACGCCGGGTTCACTCCTTAAATCTATGTCCTCGTTTACTAGAGAGGATTACGGGCACGAGACTTTTTGCCGAAATTTCGGCAGAGTCTCCCCTGTAAATTGAACATTTCCCCAAAATTTCCACCTGCATAAAACACATTTTATAACCCAACCGGCAGCACGCACAATAAAATCTCATGCAATTTACACAAATGGCCTCCGGCCTTCAAATTATTCTAGCAGAACTGTCCACAATGTTTTTAAAATAACTTAATGCATCAAACATGCATATAACAAATTCAAAATCTAGTTATGCACACCTTCACTCACTCAGTCTACAGGACAAATCTCAATTCAACCAAGTTTCAGGACCAACAACAAGGTCCGAACCAATCTCAATAAGACCACCTAAGTGGGGTCTAATCTGTGGCTGCACCTAGTAACTTCAGGCTGCCTACGTACCCTACTAAGGGATCAAGCCACACGTAGCTCTTTCGTATCTATCCTGGCTCCTAATATCAAATAAACCATTACCACCACACAA